GTTCAAACTGCACCGTTTGAATCGCCGGTGCAGCCCACCCATCGTCGCCCTTGGCAGAAACCCATTAACAGGATAGTTAACTTCATTTCTGTGCTGCCGGGGTCGCTCGCCCCCCTTCTCGCCGACGCCCTCCCTCCCGCGTCGGTGCCATGGCGCTCGAAGACGGTTCCGATGACGCTCTGGAGGCTCTGTTGGACGGTGAGCGCGACTCTCAGCTTTCTCCGCAGTGCCTTGGCCTTCGAAGATCGGCATGATCGACAGGGGGGCTCACGCTGTGACAGACGCGCTGAGAGACTTGGAAGAAGATGCCGCCTGCCAGCCGCCCACGCCCTCTGACTTGGGCTCCTCGAGGTGATTGCAGCCGCGTGTCAAAATGCTGTCGCAGGGAGACCGGCGGATTGACGGCCATTTCTGGGACTGAGCTGGCTCCAATCAGTGGCAAACAACACACCCTCTGGGTCCATCCGCCTCGCCTGCCTTTTCGAGGCAGCACAACATGCCGCATTTCGTGGCCAGTGTTTACATTGGCCTCCGTGCACACGTCGTACGGTGTTCAACTGGCGCCCCGTGCCTGCGAATGTCTGATTTACACCTCAACCCACTTGGGCGGACCAGTGCCCACCGTCCCTGGTCTGGACAACTGATGCCCTTGCATGATGTGCGCAGTGATACCACACCTGTCAGGCAATCGGCCGGAGCGACCACCAGGGGCGATGCGGGCTCCGGTGGCTTGGCATTCGATCCCCTCAAGGGGCCCAAGCCATCTGCGGGCACACGGCGGGGTGCAGCTGCCGACGGCGAGAGGTTGGTAGAGAGGCGGAAGGCTGAAGACGTGCGGGAGGTGTGCGCGGGGCTGACAAAGCTCACCGAAGAAATAGCCGCCTGTAAGAACTGGAGGAGGAACTGGAGGAGTGGTGAAACGGCTGAGGACGTGCTGTGCTAATGGCATGCCTTCTGCAACATTTATTCTGAAAACATTGTGAGGTGTGATGGCACGTGTGCCTTCGCTTGTTCTGTCAAAGCTCGTAAGATCTTGAGCCACATGATTGTGTGTAATCAGTGTGGTGGGGATTTCCCAGTTGCGACGGGACATCGGCCTGGTGCTAGTTCCACTGGTTCACACAGTGTGGTGTGACGTGTTTGCGATGGGCTTGCGGCTCGTGTTCGTTGCTGATATGATGCTGCGTTTGGTGCAGTGGGCAGCCAGGAGAATGGACCAGGCTCCTGGCCTGCGGATGCTGGCCATCAGGATACCCTGAATGCCCTGAAAGCTGCATTAGCAGACACAACACACCCAGGCCAAGGAGTGGCGCAAGACAGCGACGACGGCAATATGGAGGCAATAGTTGGGATTGTCATGCAGAAACTATTGTCCAAAGAGATGCTGTATGAGCCGATGAAGGTGGGCGAATCATTTGCGCGATACCACAGAAGTTTGGAGGGATATATTTCTGGGGCGATGTGAGATGCATGCATGGATGTGTATGCATCTTGTTCCTTTCTCTTTATTATAGGACAGGAACGTATATTGTAATCTGCCAACAGTGGGTCTTCAGAACTTTGGTGTCCAGCTTGAGTTGTTTGATCTTCCCCTTTTGGTTGACGTTGATGCTTGAACGGAGGTTCTTGACAAAGGAGAAAACGTTGGTGACGTTGGTGCCTGCAACAGTGGGCACTGTTATGGGCCTGGTATTTCACTAATGAAATGCTTGCGCTGCTTTTGTGTATCAACCATTTCTTCTTTCCTTGTGTCTGGAGCTGAAGCAACGATACTTGAGGCAGAAATGTGCTTGTAGCAGGCCCCAGCCTGCCAGACTTGCTGTTTGTTTGTTGTCTTTTTCAAGAGTCTTGAGTGCAGCTTCTGAGTGCAGATGTGGCTGATTACTTCAGTCCAAGGGTTAGAAAATCGTGCACTTGCTGGCCCACACCATCAATATTGTGATTGTGACTGTTTATTGCAATATCAGAAGCAACTGCTATCAGCATTGTCCACAACTCGTATCCTCATCTTTGCAAAAACATGGAAATGAGAGCAACAGCCTCTGGTGAGAACTACATGATTCGCATTGCATTTTCTGGCACAGAAGTTGGTATCCCTGGAACGTGCTGACTTGTGCAAACTGTCATGTTGCATTGAAGAGGACCTCCTACACGAAAGATACATAAGAATTGCTGGCCACACACACAGCTGCTCAGTTAGGCAGCAATTTGAGCAGGGTCAAGCACCCAAGTGCTTGTCGTTCTTGCCTGTTAATCCAAAGAGAGGATCTCTGGATGGCTTCTGTGAGATTCTGTGCCTTGTCATACTCTGTGGCTGGATCCCATAAACACTTCCCTGCTCTGTCCGAATTGTCCACCTGTTGGTTTGCTCATAGTTTTGGGCCTTGTGAACACCTGTGCCCATATGACGCTGTGTCCATTCATGTGATGCTGTGGACGATCTCAGCAGTGTGAATGCACTGAACACATTATTCAGTTGTGTCCCGTATCAATTACACCTGTGTATGTGGGCATTGATGAGTCCTGCTTAGTGTGCATGTGGGAGTGAAATCAGCCCAGACATATGAACTGCCAGGTGCATCCTTTTGGTATGTTGACAGAAAGAATGCACTTATAGGAATGATATTGCCCTGGCAACATTGCACATCAACTGATATATCCGTGAATGCACTTGTCAGCACTTGCAGTCTGATATGTATTGCGGCGTTTGTTAACTGTGAGTCAATGAACCATGGGAACAACAATTCAAGTGTTTTTAAGAGTGCTTGTGAACTGCAGGACATCTGCTCCAGGTATCCTGCTTGGTTTGAGGCAAATGCTGCAACACTGGACAAGCTCGAGGAGCAGCGGTTCCGGAAGCAGTACGAATGTATTAAGAAAATCATAGACATGTACGAGAAAGAGCCGGACAACACGAGTGAGATAATGAACCTCATGCAAGAGGTGAGAAGCCTGCTTGTCAGCAACGTTGATTTGCTATACTTTTGCACCCTCAGGAATGTCAATCCCAAGTGCGGCAGTGTTCAAACGAGCAGCAACTCCAACCGATGCTTCGTTCCCGCAGCTGGCGTTCGCGCTCCGCCAAGTCTCCAACTCTAGAACAGAATTCTGTTGTGCCACAGCTGTCTAGACTCCCTTGGCCTCACAAGGGACTTGGATCCACTTCCAAATGTGCACTTCTTAGTGATGTCTGTGGTGTTGCGGCATGCTCCCTGACTCTTGTATAATCCCGTGGCCATGCAATTGGTATCGCGTTTGGAGTGTGTGTGCTGTCTCTGGTGTGTTTCCTGATGGGGAGTGCTTGGTATTGAGGACTGCAGGGCTTGTCCCTTGCAGGTTCAGTCATGTGGCCAGCCCCCACAGGACATAGTTGAGCAAGTGGCGCCCGGGTTGGAAATGGGCGACACTCTGGATGATGCCGGGCCTGCATCTGTGCCGCCCGGGGACTTTCCAGAGTTGGCAGAGAACTGCAAGATGCAGTGACAATGGCCGCGGCTGACTACTGCTGCTGCTGCGCATTGCCTGGTGTACTGATGCGCAAATTCGCTATATTTAGGAATTTGCTTGGTGCGGTACTTGTATGAAGTTGTGGAAATTGTACAATGGTTCGATGAGGTGACTGGTTGGTTCGCAACTGAATACGAGAAGAGTAGACGTAGTTGCAGGACGCCGCTGTGCGTTGGACTGAATTAGGGGAGCGTCCAATGCTAAGGACGCATAGGCACTATGAACGGGACAGAAATGACTGCTGCGGATAGTAATTGTCCGTTTGGTGGATCGCAAAACTATTCCATGTCGATTGTTTGTCACTGCACCTGCAAGTGGATTATTGATCATCTTCGCCATATGGCATTCCAATGCATTGGGAGGAGGATCTTTCGGAGGGCGCGTCTCGGTGTCAACCTGTGCGGGGTGTTGAATGATCCAGCATCCACCAGTAGAAAACAGCCTGTTTGCGATGCCATTTGACACAAATCATGTGACACACATCACGGGGGGGGGGGGGGGGGGGGCTGCCAATCATCGTGATTTGGATTCAGCAGGGGCACGGGACATGGCCAATGTCGTATTTTCAGGTTGCCTTCAAGGCTGCTGTCATTTATTTCATTTATTCATTCGTTCAATCGGGATAAATGTCGCCATTTGTCCTTCACTGGGGACCAAACAATGTTGAGTGTGGTACGCTTTGCACAAAGTGATGCGTGCACAGGTGGGCGGTTGGGTGGATGGGATGGGGTGGGGTAGGCGTGCTCGAATTGTGGCACTAGAACATTTGCTTCAGCATACATGAAATATTCACCAAAATTTCAAAACAAGCGAGAAGGACGAAATAACCGCCGTCGATCAAGGGCCAACAAGCCATGGCTTGTTGGGAAGCCTTCCTCAAGTGTACGATCTTCAAGGATATCGTCCCGAGCATGTCTGATTTGACCGCCTCTACGGCTGCACCCACCGACAGCTGTCGCCTCGAGAATCCTATTTCTCAATCCTCCGCCATAGCCTCAACGTTGGACGCTGGCTTTTCTTGAGGACTTCTTTGCCTTCTACACAATGCTTCGACACGAAGAATCCCTGTGTCCCCCTTCCTGTGCTATCAATCCCCCACAATACGCCACTTCTCGCGTTCCATGCAGGCAATAGGAGCCTTGGCTTGGGATTTTGTCATTGTAGGCCGCCGCCTCACAAGCCACGCCGATGCCTCTGTGTGCCGCGACAATCCTCATCCTTGAGGCGCTTCTGCATGCCGACACCCCGGGCTACCTGCGTCATAAGGTGGGCCACTGTAACGATTGGACACTCAATGCCAACGAGTGGAAACCACAAAATAGCGTTGGCGGCCACACAGACTGTTCTGGAGTGGCATCCTCCAGAAGTGTGCACCGTATTGTCAGCACACTCCGTTCTGTGCCAAGATGCCGTTTCGCCCAGTTAGGGGCAGTGTGGCTGAGTCACGATAGGATCAGGACAGGGATTGATGCCGGAGTTCCTCCGAGCTCAGCTTCGATTTGGTGCCGACCTTACCAACCTCGACATCGCCCCCCTCGTGTAGCCCCGCAACATTCCACATGGTGTGGCCCCGTAACGTTCCACACGGTGTGGCCCCATAGTGTGGGACATCACACAGGTGTGGCAGCATCAGCGACCACCGTCCGCCCGAAGCCGCGTTCCCAAAGGCGGTATATAATGTGCGTCGCCCCAATCATGTGACCGCAATCTGGTCCCAGTTTCTCGCGCTCTGTCTTCCCCCCCTGGGACGGCATCCGCGGCTCGGCCGTACGACCCCTACCCTCCCCCGCGCCGCTCGCCTTGGTCGACCATGCGCCTCGCAAGAGCCCTGGCCCCTCTTGTCACCCTGTGTGCGCTGGCCTCGGGCGCGCTGGGCGTGCCGCCTCCGCATTTCAGAGGGGCCGCCATCCACCGCATCAACCCCGCGGACTTGTTCGACCCATCTGCCTTTGAGTTCAGCCACGTGGTGACCACTGGTGAGTTGATTCGCCCCAGGGGGCCCTTCCCCATTGACGGGTTAATGGCAGTATTGCCATGCACGGCGCGCCCCACATGTCCCGCTATTGGCTGCGGCACGCGCTGCCGGAGAGCGGCCCTGTAGGTGTTCGTCCGAGCCATTGTGTCAGCCGGAGATCGCCATTGCCCGTAAAAGCAAAACGGCGAGACTGGCTGAAGGGCTGACCAGTGTGCATCCATGCAGCCGACGTGGGGAGGACGGTCTGGGTGTCGGGCCAGGTGGCGCTGGACGCCAGTTTGGGCATCGTCGGCACGACGCTCGACGAGCAGGTGGGAGCGAATGCGCGCAGCGCTCTTGCGGGGGCCCGGGAAAGGGCCTTTCGCGCTGGGTGGCGCGGGGTGGCGCGGGCCCGTGCAGCGTAAGGGCTCCAGCAAGTGTGATGGGGCGGCGAATCGACCATGCGCTGGCGGCCGCATCCATTCGGATGCGGGCCACTGGCGGGCAGGTGACGTGCCAAGCGGCCAGCGCGTGCTGACGCACAGTCGGCATGGGTGCTGTCGGGGAGAGCATTGCAGGAACGCGACGGTTTCTGAGTCAATGGTTTGACGCGGAGTGATGCTTCAAGCCAATGTTCTCCTGGCATCCCACGCTCCGATGGTTCCTTTCTTGCGGTTCACCTCAATCAGTCGTATGACAAATGTGATACTTGCTGCGACGTTGAGTTCGTTTGCCTGTGGCTGCAGGCGGACGTCGCCATGGCCAATGTGAAAATCGCCCTGCGCGGGGCAGGTGCAACAGTGGATGATTTGGTGCGGCTGCAGTATTACATTGTGAATTTCGACCCTGACACCGATGGTCCCGTGGTTGTGAAACTCTATAGAGCCTTTGAAAGCTCGAGAGGGGCTCACCCAGGCGGCGAGGTCATAGGGGTCCAATCGTTGATGCTCGATGGACTGTTGATCGAAATATCCGCCGTGGCAGTCTTGAGGTGATCGCCAGGCTCCAGGACCCATCAGCCAGATTGCGCATTTGTATATTTCATAGCTCAGGGACGTCGAGGGTAGTAAAATTGCTTCATCTACGTCATATAGAAAATTGAAGGGTGGGTCAATGGCCTCCTAGCAGGGAACTTGTGGCCTGCTCGGCACATGTCACAAGCAAATCCTCGTGGGATGTCTTGACACAGACAACATGGGAAACTTAGCATTGCAATTGCGCGTTCCTGGGATGTGAGGAGGAAGCGGCAAGGTCGTGTGTCCCCACTGTGGATCGTGTGATCATTGTAAGCATGACGTCATCGCCGTGCTGAGCGCAGTGTGCTGCACCGCGGCTGCCTTCGGATTGCCTGGTGGCGGGACGGTGCGGCAAGCAATAGTGGAGCACCCACGTTTGTTTTACAAGCCAGGCAATACATTTAGTTTCGGTTCTTTAGGGAGCACGCGTAACTTGCGCGGAAAGTGCAAGGTCCGTGCCTGGCTCCTTGGGTGCAGCACAGGAGCATCGGTGTTAATCATTTCAGGAATCCTCGTTGCGACACCGCATCGTGACTTTTAAAAGCAAATTTACCACTCATATCCCGACAGCTGTTGACCTAATCCCGGCGGTTGCTCATATTTTGCTAGAGGGTTGGCTACTGAAGAATTCAGGAAAACAACAGGGAGGGCAGTGCGCGTCAGCAACGTGTCTGTACAGCCTTCCACCAATAAATTTCGACAAACTGCGCATTTTTAGATACGTCGAGAATTCCTTTTTCTTTGCAAAATTCATAAGTTCGCCTTCATCCATGCGGGCAGGATATTCTTCTGGCACGTCCACCGTCTTAATTGGCGCGCAGTTAGCACGCAGCTTTGTGCTGGACACAATCATGATCTGCCATTTGCTTTCGTGTTCATCTTGTGCGGACATCATCAACATCATGTCAACCGAATTTCCTTGTATGTATGCAATCTTACTGTGGCAGACATCACGGCGACTGTGGGGATCCACAGCGTAGTAGGTTATGGATCCCCACAGCCGCCGTGATATCTGCCACACTACGGTTGCATACATACAAGGGAATTCGGCTGACATGATGTTGATGGTGTCCGCACAAGATGAACACGAAATCAAATGGCACATCATGACTGTGTCCAGCACAGAGCTGCGTACGCCCTTTAAATTCCAAATTTGGAATTTCGCCACGTTTCAGCCGAATGTTCTCCTGGACTACTGGATGCATTTGGCCCTGCTCATCTTGCCCGCTTTCCTACCGCCAACAATGCCGACGATGATGGTCACCTGCGATCAAAAAACTATTGACAATGGTTTATGTAGCACATGCTTTTGTAACTGCACTGTGTTAGAAAACGGATGCGGAGCACGCGTGCCTCGAAGCTTCGAGGCAGGCGTGCTCCGCACCTGTTTCCTGACACACCACAGTTAGCTCAGTTAGTTGGTTCAAAAAATCGAGAGGAGTTGCACAGTAGACAGACGACCTGCAACGAAAGTGCCGCGTCTAGAATGCGTTCCTCTGCCGTCGCTCGCCGTCCCATGTCCTTGTCGGCTCGACCATAGAGCTACCTGATCTGTCGCAACACGAAAAATCTCTCCAAGTACTCACGTTAGAAGGCACTTTAAAGTTAATAGGAACTTCTAATTTGAAGTTGCAAGAAATGCAAAAGCATCTACAAATGCTTGCTGTTTGCTCATTGGGCATAAATCCTCATGTGGAAAAAGATTGTAGGTCACAGCAAACTTAACAATAACGGGGATGGTCCTCCTGTGGAAGAGCACGCAACGCACGTGGGGGCAATTGAGCACAAGTACTAATACGGAAGTGGTACTTCAAGCAATGCTACAAGGAAGGTAATCGAAAGCATTAAAAAAGAGTTTTCTATTTTGGCATGCCTCATGCAATTGAGCTCACCAGGTGGCTCCAGGGATCCCTCCACCCTCCCTGGCACCCTCCCCCTAATGGGGAGGACCCGACGCCCCCCGGGGATCCTAGCCCCCCGGGTAGCGCCACCCGATGGCAGCGCCA